GCTGGACACTACTGCCAAGGTCTGGACGGGAGGCCATGGAAGTGTTATTGAGGGTGACGGGTGGAGGTGGGGAAGAGCTTCTCTGCTCCCAGAAGAAGCAGCCCAGGGGAGATTGGGACATTTGATTCCGGGGTGTCAGCGGCCCACTGGGGTTCAGCCCCCTCTTTGTCCTTCCCTTTTCCTCTTGATGGCACCAACATTGTCCTTGTCATCTCGGCTCCGGGGCACAAGCTGGGAATCAGGTCCGGCCCCTCACTCTCGAGCTTGTCGCGTCCAGAGAGGGCGTACTTCACAGAATTGAAGTAGCGAGCGCTCCTGTGCATTCTGGCTAGAACTGGAACTTTGGGCACCAATCTCTTTCAGCTGACTTTTTCCTTGCATTTTATTCTCACCTAGATCTTTTCAGCACACATGCTATGGGCATCTTGAATCCTGCTCAATATCGCTTTTGTGCCAAATGGTAAAAAAGAAAATACAACAGAAAAGAAACAAATGATTAACATGCTCCCAGTGTAGATGATATGTGGATAAGAAATTTGACTGTTACTATTTCAAGGTCAGCGATTTTAACCTCACTGCTAATAGATTAAAGACATGATGACATACGTCAGGTCATTAGGTGACTTGGTTAATAAAATCTTCCTGCAGTTCTAAAGAACTTGCTCCTCCGAAGTTGGTGACAGCTTCACAGCCAGTCGGGCTGTGCCATGCCCACTGTTGATTTCACGTGGTATTTCTTCTCTCTCTACTTTCAGGTAGAAATTGAGAAGCTGGATTACCATCATTATCTGCCTCTGTTTTTTGATGGGCTTTGTGAAATGACATTTCCCTATGAGTTTTTTGCTCGGCAAGGAATCCACGACATGCTGGAACACGGGGGGAACAAGATTCTACCTGTCATTCCACAGCTCATTATCCCGATAAAAAGTAAGTGAACAGGTGAAAAAGCATCACTCAGTTTATATGGCGCCACTTTTTGACAACTTGCTAATTAAGCAATAAAACACAACAGACTGAGGCGATCCCCAGGCTTTGCAGGAATTTCTATAAATTGACTTATGAGGCCAGACAACCTAAATCTCCGAAAAAATATCCTATCATCTATATTGCACTACGACTTAGCCACATAAATAAATGAAATTGAATGGGGTTTGCGCTAATGTAAAATGTTCATGGTGATAACACGAGTGCTAACAGATACATCCAGAAGTAAAGTACGTGTCTTTGTATATACACGCTGCTAACTTCCAAGACTTTTTAAAAATGCATCCCTACTGTTTTTTGGAAATAGTTTATTTGCTGTATTAGTTTCCATCCCTATTTTTTTAATTACAGTATAGACACAACTATGTTGAGACATTTTGAGGTAGCAGGATTCATAATTTTAAGGAAAAAAATCTGGAATGGAGAAAAGATTAGTGTTTTTAAATACCCCAAATTATTTTATCTACAATGAGTTACCTGGGGTGATTCTAGGGTGACCCTGTCGCTGGCTTTATCTATCTATAAAATGAGATTACACTTCCTTCCTATGGCCAACTTACTCACCCATGAGACCCTGCTGAGTAGCGTCTGAAAGCGTCCCCCTTCAAGCGCCTTTCTGAGGTTTCCCTGTGCCACAGCTCCCATGGCTTAGAACAAGTCCCTTGGTTGCTTTCTTTCCTGTCTTCTTACCCACAGCCAGAGTTGCTGGTGACCTCAGTCATGGAGCCACCCGCACGGGCATGGCCGACCTCGGCAGGTAAAGACGCAGGAAGAGGAAGGCTCTCCTCCAGCCCGAGCGGCAGGCCTGCTTCCTCTCACCTGCCCCTTCTCACCCCTGATTCTCTTTGCTCCGAACCGCCTACCTGTACCGAGCTGCTGCTGCTTCGGCTTTTGCTGTTGCTGCTAATGAAAAGCAGAGAATTGGCGCCTCTGAGCACTGCGTGGGTGAGCGAAATCCCACCTTTTTCCCAGTCAGATCTCTTCCAGGCATTTTCACCCCCGGATCCGGGCCCAACTGCCCCATGGCTTCTGAGGGATGCGGAGGTCCTGCCTCCCCCACCCCAAGTTCTGCCTCGTCTCCTACTCCAGGATGAGCCACTTCCCAGGGAGATGGACAGGACGCCTGCCAGTCTCCCAGCATCTGGGGACCGCCACCGTCACCGCCTCAGGGGTGCTCTGGCCACGTGGTTTGACCAGAACAAGAACAAAATAATTCACCATTGGGTCATTTCTCAGAGTCTGGATCATTTAATCTGATCCGTGGTCTCCTTTCATTGATTTGAATTAGCATGATGAGAATGCTAGATTTTTAAGAGTTTTGCTCTCCCTGCTTACATCGAATCAACTTTGAAATTTGTTCTCTAATCTTTGGGATCTCTATAGAAATCTGCAACTGAACACGCCACATTTACGCCAAGACATAGAGAATGAAACCAAGCACAAGCACAGTGCCATCTGATGCGAAAAGTAACATGGAAAGAAAAGCAACCCTGGAAAAGGGACCTTGTTCAGCAGCAGCTTTGCCGTCCCCTCATGCATCAGTGGAGTGAAGGGATGATCTTTAAAAGGCCTTCAGGGAGGATATATAGTCCTGAGCCATATTAAAACCTTTTCCAAAAGTGATTTATTCTCTTCAAAGGGTCACAATTCTTGAATATGTTAAATTCTAGTTGAAATGCTACATTTCTAAAGGATGGTATGCAAGTTTCATTGATAAACAAAAAAGGCCCAGAACATTCTCCTCAGGAACTCTCTTTCCCCCCACTCCCACCCCAGCATCCATCAGAATAACAGCAATCTTTGGGTGCATATTCTTTTCTTAAAAGATCAACGCTTCACGTTGCTATCACAGCCTTCTCGGGGTCTCTCCCTCAGAGCCCCGTTGAAGACCCTGAAGGGCAGAAAGAATTGCTAAGTAATATTTTGATTATGCTGTTTACAATTAAAACATACCAAATTATAATTTTTTGCAGGCCAAGGTGAAGTGATTCTCAATTTTGTTCTGTCTGTATTTTGAAGATACATAAATGAGTTAAGAGAGAAGTGATGTGTTGTAAGGACAAAATTTACAGTACACACATCCTAGAGGTCATTTGCTGATGAGTGAAAACATTATTAAGAATTCAGTAAACATGATTTCTCAGGGAAAATTAAGTCTATACGAATTTGATGATTTAAGCTTCCAGAGAAATGACAGTTTATCTTGGGGGATGCCATTGCTGGGCGTTCGGAGCTTCTGCTGTTGCATACTGATCCCGGGTCTAACTGTTTCTTTCTTCTCAATCTGTATATGTCACTAAAAGCCAGACCTTTCTTAGGAGGAAATGCTGCTTAACTACGCAAGATCATGCACTGTTCCAGTATAGTGTGAAAAACATATGTGCATAAGCTAAATCTTTCAGGTGGAATTCTGGAATGAGGCTAACTGTTCTAGAAGCAGGCTGATGTGCATAATTGGCATAACATATAACATCTGTGTGTATCTTATTTTCAAACCACACTCTTAACATTATTTTGACTCTATCCAGGGGCAAAAATTAACCTCACTGTCACCAGTTAGCAGTTCTTGAACAGTTTTTTTTTCTCAAATTATAACTAATCTCTATGAAAACAAAGCAAAATTTATAAACTCACTGTGAGCACCCAAGTTCTGTAATAATCCAGATAGTGGGTTTCTGACGCCTCTGCTCTGTCGACGTTGCCTTCTGGCACAGCTACCATTGCTCCTCCTCTTTAACCTCCCTCTTTTCTGATTTCCACCTTCTTGAGTTATTCTAGGTCAGAAAACTCCAAAATAATACCGGTATAAAGTGCTCAGGGTTGGTAACAGAGCATTGATTGCTGGGAGTGACAGCAAGACATTGTAGGGGAAGGTGAGAGCCCCTTTAGCCGTCTGCACTGGGGATTGTAGATTTACATTTACTCTATCTGTTTAGGAAAAGGCAAATCCATCTCCATCCAACAGAGCAATACCAGGAGACAGTGTCTGGAATCTCTGCATGTTAAATTCAAAAGAAGATTCAAACAGCAGTCAAGAGGACAGACCGCACCAAGAGCAACCGGCAAAGCCTATGTCTGGGAATGTCTCTCTCCAATTGAGAGCTAGAAGGAGAACAGCACCACGGCCACAGGGGCCACTGAAAACAATCTCTGCACACTGGGAAGGAAACACCTTGCACAATCAGAAGAAAAGAACCGCACAACATTTGATACAGGAACCAAAAGAAACTTGTTTGACATCCGCAGGATTCAGGAAGATGTGGCTTTTAAGAAGCAGAAATCAGAAGCAGAAATCTGTAAGAGGAGACTAGACTCAAATGAAAATAAGCCAATTTTGAACAGGATAAGGGAAACTAAAAATGCTTTGAGAGAACAAAAGTCTCTGTAGGATTATAGAGAACAATCAACTGCACACCATCAAATTATAAATGTAGACAACAACCTTAAGAAGCTCTCTCAGAAAAGACAAGTGTATATAAATAAGATGAGAAAAGAGATTAAATTGGAGAGCATAGGACAGAAACAGAGATAAAAGTGATGTGTTCCCAAGGGGAAATATCAGAACAACAAGAATAGAAACCATAATGACAGAGGGGACTGAAAGAAATTTTCTGGGAGGAAAAATATACCCTATTATGCAGGTCGAAGAGTCTCACTGCAGTCTAAAGAAAATCAATGAAAGGAGACATATATCGAGGAACAATTTGCCAAAAAGTTTAAATTATAACATAACAAAAAACCCTTCAAACATCTGGACTGGGGGGAAGAGGCTACCCACTAAGAAATAAAAATAACCGAGGCTAAGACTTTCTGCAACAGTAAATTCTAGACAACAGAGCACATTTTAGAGAATTGAGGGAGAAACATGACTTCACCCCAGTTCTCCGAGTCAAAAGACTGTGGACTCAGCGACTGTGACACCCACTTGTCCTTCACATAGAGGGTGACTGGGGGCTCCTCCAGCTCACAGAAGGCAAAGCACAGTTGGGAACCCCCACATGAGAAGGTCACAGTTTGAAAAGCAATAAACACTAAAAGCCACTAAACCTAGGACTAGGTCTAAATAGTTGATGGCAGAGAGTTTCAAAACTGTCTTCCATCATATGAAATGCCCATTCCGTCCATATGAAATGTCAAATAATAGTTTTGCAGTAATGACTCTAAAAATCCAGGTCTAAACCTTCAAAGTCAATGGAGAAGATAAAAGTAGTTAAACAGAGTCTGTATATTAAAAGGACAAAAATTGAGTAGAGAGCAAGGAAGTGCTAAGAATCAAAAGCACAAAATAAGATAAAAAATGTAAAATCAGCTATATCAGTTATGAAAGCTAACTTTCAAATTTGTTTGTAAAAAACAAAATCTGAATATAAACTCCCTCTCTATATAAAACAAAATACTACTTAAATATTTTAAAATAAAAGATATATGGGACAAAGGACAAAAGAAAGCAGGAGTAATTATTTTAATCCTAGAAAAGCAGAATTTTAATGTAAAGAGGTTTCAAG